GAATGTAAACAGCGTTGGCTGTCATTGGCAGAAAGTAATACATTCCACGGCGTGATACAGCAGAGGATAATGTCAAGTGTTCATGTTATGTGCGTTGGTGACGGATCGTCATCTACGGCATGCACGGATACAGATTCTCTTCAGCAAACAGGACATTTCTCGCAGCAAACACGTCGTTTATAAAATACCTGAATTTTTCTGACGCATGATTAAAAGAATAAAAAGGAGCCCCTGGAAAACAGCAAGAGTTTGAGCTTATTAAGTGTTCAGATTATCGCTATACCATACCATTTGAAGCCGAGTGCACACGGGACAACTTTTGCAAGTCAGACTGTGCAATAAAGTTCAACTTCAGGTCAGACTGTACATCTTATATATCTTAGCTTAAAATTGAGTCATCATGACTAACAGCATTAACTGGATGATTTATTTAATTGATAACAGTAGCTCTAATGTTGCCCAAATGGATGCTAACAAATATTTTTGTTTTATAAAAATGTATGGACTGGGACCCAACGTTTTATTAATTAAATCTGGTTCCATTTTGGTGCAGTTACTGATATTTATTTGGCCATAAAGTAAGATGAAATTATGATAGCTTGTAATGTAAATCAAAGTTTTATTAATATTTGTTGTAATGCATTTTCTTTATTTAATTAGTTAAATTAAATAATAATTGTAAGATTTGTATTTAATAACAATTAAATATTACATAAAATGGCATAATAATAATATCTATATCTATAATAATAAATGCATCTGTTGAGGGGGGAAATCAATTTTGTACTTATGCCGAAATAAATCTTTTACCCAAGAATATAAGAAAAAAGATGGCAAAAAAATAATGTGCAATATTTTTATTTAATGCAAACTAAATTTTTATACTAAAATAAAAATGTAATAATAATAATAATAATAATTATTATTATTATTATATTATTATTTAATATACCCAAGATTAGAGTGCGTAAAAATCGTAGCATGTGCACCCGGCTTTACTTTGTTCACACCATACAGAGACCCAAGACGGTCTGCCGTTAAACATCAGCTTTGAGTGATAGCTTAATAGGGTGGTCTCATCCACACTGAGAGTGTTTGTATCACGATATAGTACATTATACATTCCCATCTACAGCGCCGCACCACAGACGATCATCCCTCGCTGAAGTCCAGTCTCTTTAGCGATGCTCGTCCATATCAAAGTCTTAGAGTTCAGACCCTAATGCTCATCAGGGAGTGGACAGTGAAACGGCTTCCTGTCCAAGGCACAAGCTGATGTCCAGAACGTCCCGCAG